CTGGTGCAGCTTTGCATGGTAGCCAATCAACTTCTAACTTCAGCTTGTTCCATTTGTTTCAATTTGACCCAAAAAAAAAAACCTGGAAGCTGATTGGTTTCTATGCAGAGCTGCACCATATTTTACACTCTAGTTTACAGTAAATCAATCCCAGAGTGTATTGCTTGGCATAAAAATGCAAACACGTTGCATTTTCCTGTATAGCAGACCAACGCAATTGTATGGCGTGAACGGGACACATAGAGAACAATTGCCCATTCAACGTCCTTTTGTGGAACGTGATCCTAGCTGATCAATGAACCTGGTGGGAACAAGCCCTTAGACTCTTTGGCCTTGCATACAAAGACATTAAAAGAGTATACTCCATGTAGCAATTGTGCATACAGAGATGGACGCGGTCATCCATCTTGCTAAGGATCCTCCATCTTGTATCATTTCTACTCCCAAACCAGCCTCCCTCCAATTTCCCCCCAGGAATGTGGTCTGGATGATGCCAGAGATCACAGGCTCAGCGGGAGAGCTTAATGGTTATAAATCCCACTAGCTGGTACCCGGGTGTCTGTTAGCTTCTCAATCTGAGATATCGTAAAGCGATAAACAAAGTCCTTCACTGAGCTTCAAAGACATTCCAGATAAGCCGTAAAACAGACATCACGTTCAAAATCCACTTTCCCCTATGATTTCATATCTTGGAATATGGAAGACTTACAAGGAGACCAGGCATATATTCAGATCGGTCACTTTAATACAAGTCGCCTGATATATTACACCCCCTAGCTAACATCTACAGGAGAGCAGAAAATTATATCTCCTTAACCGTCTCAAGCAGGTATGTCATATCTAGACGTTCAGCAGATGCTTCTGCATATTAATCTACAAATGGCTAGGCTGCAATATGCACCGAGGGTAAGTTATGGGTCATGATATAAACTGCAAGGGATTTTGGTTCTAGCTTGGGTCTCCGCCTCCAACACCCTCCCCAAATGATTGGTTCTCTGCTTCAAGGAGACACCCTGCTGAGTTCCTAGAAAGTCTGTTGTTCTTGGAGCAGAAAGTTAAGTTAAGCTGAGTTGAGCTAAGTTGAAGAATTCTCCCTTTTTACACCAGGAACCAACTTTTGCTCTGACACTTGAAAGCTGCTTAAACCAAGGCTGACAGCAAGTATTCTACCTCCTTAAACTTCTTTCTGTTATCTCTTTGCTGTGTTATTGCTCTCTGTAGATTTATATATATATATATATATATATATATATATATATATATATATATATTATTTTGACTACATCTTTTTCTGTAAATATTTTTATTGCACCCTTTTGACCTTTTAGTAATAAATCTTACTTTCTGAAAGTGTTGAACTATTTCTAAAGCTCTTTAATGCAAACCAAGAACCCCTGTCTCTGAAGACTACTGTGTGTTTTAAACGTCTGCATACATCTGTCTGTGGTGACATTGTGTATACAAACGATTATTCAAACATCATAGTGTTATTGCTGATATTGCCGAGTTTCCTCTTTCTCTGTACAAAAAAGAGGTGGTGGCAGTGTGAAGGGTTCCCAGGCTGCAGGTACACAGATTGTGGTCCATTAGCTGGAAAATCTTTGTGCAGAGTGCAGCTGGGCATGGCATTGTTACGCACGTGACAGCGCGGTTTTAGATTGGCTAGTCCTTCGGTCACGAGTTTGGTGAGAAGGGCTGGGGTCTGATGCCGTGATCGTCAGACTCCACGTGTTTTTTTTTTTCTGATATCTACAAAACCCCACCCAAATTCTTGGCCAGAAGAAGTAGAATAGGTGAGATAGTACTTTGTAATGCTTCCAGTTGCTGGAAACAATGCCTTATGTTGTAGCCCCCTTTACACGTGTTTTTCACAATGGAAGAACATTTTAAACCCAACCATACGGTCTCAAACCCGGTAAGCTGCTTCTTTCAGCACAAATATTTATGAGGTCACAAAAAAAAAAAGGCCTTTTTTTTCTGATGAATCTTTTCAGCTTATTTCAACAATCTTTGTGTCAGACCCTTTACTGCTTCTGTTTTGCAGATACTGAGATGAGCCATTGAGATGCAACTGCTCAAATCTTTCAGCATATGTATTAGTGGGAGAGTCTGCCTATCTTAAATAATGTATAATGGCTCTGGTATTCTAAAAATAAATATTGCATCTCTCACATCTTTTCTTTTTTTTCAATATACTGTATAACCCCTATTATAGACATAAAACTTCAAATGCAATAAGGAATACGTGCACTACCAAGGATGCGCTCCTCTATGCATCAGGCTGCCTGTAATATGACTTCAAGCTCTATACTGACTTTTGGCAGAGGCTGTGAACCAATAAAAGGAGCGGGGAGAGGATTTGGGGGAAGTAGAAAAGTGCAATCTGCAAACAGTAATACTGCCATTGCTGATCAATTCTGACAGTTACAGAAGACCACTGCTATGACAGATTTTGAATAACATTAATGTATAACATAGCATGTATATCAGGAGCATGAATATTAAACCACAGAAAAAGCATCATTTTAATTTAAGTAAGCACCGAAAAAGTAAAACAGGTCAATTTAAATCATTTGTGCTGCTGATTAACCTTCTCAAAGACCTAAAATTTATTATAAAGCATGCTGAACTGACACACGCTACCATTAGTGAGCCAAGCATCTGCTCCATTGCCATGGCTACAGTCCTCACACTGGCAGTCATCTTTTTATTTTTTTAGACAGAGAAAAACAAAGTCAGATCAGGATAAGCAGCTTGACATGAAATATATCCAATACATCCTCTAAGGGTTTAGAGTAGTAGGCTTATTTGTGAATGTAGACAAAGGATTTCAAGAAGCAGAAAAACGATATGGAATACTCCAGTACAGACAGAGGACATGAATATAGGCAGCTATATATTGAGTTACATTGTTGCATATTATTCAATATATGGCTCCATCTATTTATTTCTGGTAAATACACTGGCATCTTTTATATTACAGCATCTGAAATATGGGCCCTGGTAAAATATTAAACTAGCCACTGCATATAAGATTACCACTGCATATAATATTCTTTTAATATTTTTGAACTAAACTATAAAAAATATATATTACAAATCACATCTCAAACACATGAAAGGTAAGAAGGGTAGGGTATGTTATACAAAATACCAAGTGTTGGAAGTCTCCAGTGGTTCCTTTGGCTTCTGTCTTGCGGAGAGTCGATATGGTTATGCTTATGGAACGTATTCAATATACGTTGCTAGATAGGCTTCACTTATTTAACAGTAAATGGGATGGTTGGAAGACGCAACAACACTTACTACTCGATTGATGTCATCTATAGGTATTTCTGTATTGAACCTCAGATGATTTTGTGCTTGATCTGCTCATAATTTTGACTACTTTCTTCATGTACTTGTATTCTTTTTTTTTCTTTTTATACTTGTATTTTGTATTTCTGTTTAAAATTCATGTATATCTTTCAAAATGTCTATTCTACCTCACTTAACAGTGCGGTTGTTGTAGTCTAACTCTTAATAAAAATGTTTGTAAAAAAAATACCAAGTGTACAATGCCTGTCATGGAGTATGCAAGCTGCCACTCAACACTTCTCTATGAGTATCCCAAACAGGTATACAGCAAAGGAAAGTCAGCATAGATGTCAACCACAACAGCCAAATTATTTATTTTTTCCTTTAGCAAATTATTAACCCTAACCTGTAGGTTAATGGATAAGTTAACCTTTAATGGCCAAACGTAAAGTTGGCCCTTCTTTAAAGTAGTGCTTATGGACTGCTGGAGTGGAACAACCAGACAAGTTATGATGAGATGGGGCCAAAATGAACCAAACAGCCCCCCACTTAATGAGTGAGAACATTGTGGTCTTCCTATATAAGCCCAACTCTATAGACGTGGCTTCTGTGCACAGCATTGATGACGGCCAACTAGCCTAAAATAACTGTATGCAGATTGGAATGGAAGGTCTTTATTATATTAAGCTACTGTATATGTTTATTATAAATCAAGTTTTGGATATGCAGGTGGCCAGAAAGCGGAATAAATGAATGACTTGCATCCTTAAATGAGGGATATACCTCCAATTTTTTGGACTTGTGATAAAAGCAAGACCGAAAAATACCTGTAGCTACTGTCTAAGTAATTAAGTGAAGCTTTTTTCATTCATTTTAGCCCGCCTCAGTACAGCGTATCTGAATGTTAAGAAAATTCAAAAGCTAAACACCTGCACATATACCACTGAAACAATTCCAATGATAAAAAGTAAATTCCATGTTACTGTATGTGCAATTATTTAGGGATGTAACTGGGCAGGAAGGAAATATGTATGTGTGAGTCCTTACTGCCCACAGTGTCTAACTGTCTCATTTGAATGCATTTTGAATAGTCACACATAAATAAAAGGTGCATTAAAATAAAAAAATAAAAATAAATACATTTTTGCAATTATTAATTTAGTGCGGAGATTCAGAGTATGTGGTACATAAGATGTTTCACGTTGTAAAAATATTAATAGATCTTCAAAGAAGAAGAAAAATAGATATTGCTTTGTACATAGTTTACACCATCTCAATGATATAAACTGGTTAAGCAACCATGAAATGTTTATTTCACATGTAACACAAAATTCAGTGGCTTTTTAATTAGGGCTTGGTTTTGTTCTAAGGTTAAGACTTTTAGGTCAGGCTTAAAGTAGAAGTCCAGTTAAGAATCAAAATCTGCCCTTGGTTAGTATGTACAATAACTAAAGCATTACAAACAAACATTTGAGAGAGATAGAGCTTTCTTTTGGTGGTATTTAATCACCACTGGGTTTATTTTTTGCTAAACAAACCAAAAACAACTTAAAATTTTGAAAAAAGAGTTTTTCTTAGTTTTTGTTTTAAAATTTTGTAAATAAGTGATTTTGCTCCTTCACTGATATGCGCTAATGAGGCTGCAGTGATGGGCACAGATAGGTGGCACTGGTAGGTGGCATTGATGGGCATTGACAAGCTTCACTGATGGGCACTGAAAGGCAGCACTCATATATGGCACTGATAGGCGGCACTGACTGGCACTGATAGTTGGCACTGATGCACACTGATAGGCGGCACTGACTGGCACAGATAGGCGGCACTGACTGGCACAGATAGGCAGCACTGACTGGCACAGATAGGCAGCACTGACTGGCACAGATAGGGGACACTGAAAGGCAGCTCAGATGGGCACTGATATGTTGCATTGATGTGCACTGGTAGGCACTGATATGTGGCATTGATGTGGCACTGATGGGCACTGGCAGGTGGCATGTATGAGTACTGAGAGCTGGCATTGATGGACACTGACAGGTAACACTGCTGGGGCTACACTGATCATCAGGGCACACTGATCATCAGTGATCTGATGATCAGTGTACATGTCCCCTCCGAGGAATGCCGATTACCGGCTCTCCTCTCCTCTCGAGATGTCAGCGTGACAGCTCGTGAGGAGAGAAATGCCGATATCTGGCATTTGCCTATTTACATGTGATCAGCTGTGACTGGACACAGCTGATCACATGACTGAGCCGACATCTTCAGCTCTTTCCATTGATCAGTGATCCGCTGTGTCCGAGGGACACAGCGCACCAGCGATCGCCGCACTGCGCGCTCCCGGAGCCGCACATGCGTGGTTAGAATGGGATCATGTCATATGACGTCGTCCCAGAACAAGAGAACCACCTTGCGCCCGTCATTTCTTTATATGGGGGGGCGGCAGGTGGTTAAAGCAGATTTAAATATGATTTTGGTTAAAATGTATGTTTTTTTTTTATCAGAACAAGTAGATTGTCATGAGGGACAAGTAGATTGGAACACCGATTTAGCCCCTCGGCAAGTAGTTTTTTTTCAAAAATTTCCACACCCCTGAGAGGGTTTAGTTTGAACACATTTGGTAGAGGATTGTGCATGCAGGAGAGAGCACATTTGATGGACAGGATAGTGGAACACAATAAGGGAAGATTTTGATTCTTCTGGACATTCATTTTACACATTTTTTATCATCCATTTTCTTCACGAAGACTTGTTTTGGCACAGTAGTGTGTTGACACTATATTTATTTATTTTCTTATATACAGGTGGGATCTTTTTCCATAAAATTATTTATAATCACATATTGTTTTTATGGCATGCATTTCATATGTTATTGTCATATACTAAAGCTGTACATTTTTTTATTGCATTTATTTGGTTTGTCACCTATAGTGCTAGCTGCTTACATTTTTAGTGTTCACTGTCATTTTCTTTAGATATCATGAAAAAAGCATAAGTAAAGGTTGCCTGCGGTAAAAACTGTATTTTCAAACAATCTGAAAATCTTCAGTTATACGTGAGTGCTTACTGTGTCATATAGGTGTCATTCATGTGTTTCAGTGTCATTAGCTGCTTTTAAAGTATGTAATGTTTATAACAATCTAGTTGTTTGTTGTTTGAAAATTGACAGTGTATTCTACTACATCTTGCAATTCATAAAATTGTTCTATCCTAAAAAAAATGGTAATAAATATATCCTCTCTGCCCTGTACTGACAGGCAACCTATTGAATCTAGAAGTGGAGCTTGAAAAGCACCAATCATGGGATCTAAACATGTCTGGTAAATGTTCTCTCGGCTATGGTATGTTGATGGGGAAGGGTGACCACACACAACAAAAAAATGTAACATTTATGCCAATATACTACATCTCATTTTGAAGGTTAAAAAGCATTTTACTATCCACTCCAATAATCAGATTTCCTGACAACTGCAAGTTGGTGTATTATATCATATTTGTCTATAAATACATATTTGTGCATTTAGCATTCAGTTTCAGCATTGCCATAATTACTCAGAAGTAGATATTGGAATTATTTAATATAAACACAGTTCAATGTAATTTTAAGAAAATATTTTGTTCCTATACAAGGGTCAGTTCCTACACATATATACTGCAGCTCTTATCCTGCTCATTGCTTAGCTTACACAAGTGTATGGTGTTTAAGTGACCATGACAGCTCCATATTGACAGCACATTTAAAAAGAATCCATCTTGCTATGCCCAATCCAAAACTGCTCAGGCATTAGTTGGAGATGAAGCAGGCACGTACATTTCTATTGTGACAGAATACTCCATCATTTCTCCTCTGAGGATTATTACATGCTGCTCTCGCCATACTTCAATATGATGTGTAATCTGCACTGACAGTTAGTGAAGAAAAAAGGAACCATACCAGTTCCATAGTAATATCCCTATACACACTAAGATGTAATGTGAACAATTTTAGAACTACAATATGGGAATGTAGAGACATTGGGCAATAACAAACACACATTGAAAGTCCCTGCAATCATAGAACATCCCATGTTCCTTACAACAGTAGGAACCCTTTTATAGAGCCTGTGCCGCAATATATGGTCCCTATAGCCAAAAAGGAAGATGAGAAAGATGACAACATTTCTCATCTACTATTATTTACACGAGTAATTAGTCTAACTGCGGACAGCTACACTCCATCTCCATGTTTGTGTTATTAACCACTTGACCTACGGACGGTTTTACCCCCTTCATGACCAGGGTGGGTTTTTTGCTATTCAGCACTGTGCTACTCTAACTGGCAAATGCAAAGTCATGCAACACTGTACACAAATTAAATTTATATAATTTTTTCACACAAATTCAGCATTCTTTTTGTGCTATTTAACCAACACTTTTTTTTGCTATATAAACATTAAATTCCTGGAAAACACATTTTTCTTAGTTTCTGTTAAAAAATTTTGCAAACAAATAATTTCAGAAATTTAAGCCAAAATGTAGTACATTTCTGCTACATTTCTGTGTATATTATTTAGTCTCTGTGAACGTTATAGAGTCTACAAACTATGATATATATATATATATATATATATATATATATATATATATATATATATATATCTCCTAGATTGTAAGCTCCAAGGAGCAGGGCCCTCAAACCCCTCGTGTATTGAATCGTATTGTACTGTACTGTCTCGTGTACTGTCTCCCACCATAATGTAAAGCGCTGAGCAAACTGTCGGTGCTATATAAATCCTGTTTAATAATAATTATATATATATATATATATATATATATATATATATATGAAAATCAATCCTGAGGTGCCGACGATCTCATTTACTCCCCCAAATGGCCCTTTTTGGAAAGTAGACAGTCTAAGCTATTTAGTAAGAGAAATGACGAGTTTTTTGAAATTTAAATTTTTTGGCAAATGAAGAAATTAAATAAATTTTTTTCACTTTTTTTTTTTTATGTAGTGTCATCAGTGCAGTACAGTGTCATCATATGACTGGCATGGCGGTGATCAGGAATATGACTGGTGACCGTATGGAAAAAAGAAAAAATTTTATTCAATCTAAAATTTTTTTTTTTTACATAGTGTCATTAGAGCAGTTCAGTGTTACCATAGTGACATTGTACTACTCTAGGGGGGGTGATCAGGGTTTTTTTTTTTTACACTGTGACTGCTTGTTATAGTGATAATCACTGTAACAGCAATCGTTTGAACTGTCATGAATGGTTTTCATTCATGACTATTGTGATGCTGTGATTAGCTACAGATATCACATGGCACAGGATGCTGTGATTGGCCTAGGTACCATGTGATTACTATGACCAATAACACACAGTAGTAAACAATGATGTAATAAATAGATTCCATTCATTACTGTTGTTTACAAGGTGACGTGATCGCACTGCAGTCACATAGTATCTGGGCCAATCACAACGGTTCTGATACTGAGCACCTTAATCCGCTGTGTTCAGTGGACACATCGGTCGCACATCGCACTGCTGCGCACCCCAGGTGCATAAGCAGGGAGACAAACTGGTATGTTGCCCGGGATCAGTAGAGCCACCGGCCAGCAGTAAAGTTACTATGGCTGGTCGCCAAGTGGTTAATGTGGTACTGTTGTTGCATCATTGGTGTAGTTTCTAGCAAAGTTCTTCTTTTATAGGGATGAATGGTAACCCATGTAAGGCTAACACACACTTTACAATCTGCCTGTACAATCAACTTTAGATTTACCAAAACTATATAATTTGAAGACCTACCCACACTATCCAATCAATGTCTCTTATCAGGCAGGCCCTTGTACTACATCCTTGGTGGTAGATCTTAAGGAGATTGTACAATCAAATTGTAACATGTGTGGTGAGCCCTAAACGTGTGTAATGCAATCAAAGGAACATCGCAATGCAACTGCACAACATAAAAAATGTACTATATGTATGTAAAAATAAACAAAGATAGTTGAAAACTCAGGAGTACCTCTAAAGCAACCACTGTCAGAAAGGGGTACAGGTGCCAGTCTTCAAGCATTGCTCTGACTTGTGGAGACATACCAAGAAGAGCACAGTTGGAGACTACTGCGATAACACCCATAGTTTCAAACGCCAACTATAAGAAAACAAAAAATGGAAAATTATACTGTCTAATGTTAATTCCAGTGATCATACATATTGACAGCAAGCCTGTCCCCTGCCTCATCCTACAATACAGTGCATGGGGCCTGTACAACCTTTAAGCTGACCTGGGTGTTGTCACATGAGCAACGTGCATATAGTTTTTAAAAAGGGGCCATTCTATGGAATTTGTTCTAGGACATCTTAAATGTACAGTACTCAAAACTGTTATCCAATTTCTTTAAATGGCCTGTGGATGGCGCTGATGTTCAAAGGTTTTGAGAATAAAATGTTGTTATTGTATAACATATAATTTATTATGTCTCTAGGACTCTGATACAAACACATTCTGTAAGGAGAACATAGCTAAATGTGTATTGAGCTGTACACTGTACAAAGTAGTGCCCTTTATGATGTATTTAAATCATTATTGTGGACATGGGGCCACCAGACAGAGGGTATATGTTTTATTTTACATGCCTCCAAAGGTCAAGCACTGACTCTCATCTCTATATAGGGGACATAGAGATCAAATGTTTCTTAGATGAACATATCCACATGCTACACTTACTCTGCTTCAAGGTATTATCTAGAGTCCAATTTCAATAAGATGTGAAAGAGTAAAACTCTACTTCCCAACCTATATTTTAGGATTATTAAAGTAGAACCCCATCCAAAGCCATTCACTCTCACTTTCTATTCTGGTTTCCATACAATAAAATCGAGAAAAAAGCTAAAATGTTAAAGCAAAGGAGGAAATCTCCCAAATGGATACCTGTTCCAAGGATAACTGCCAGAGGAGCAATATCCCATCACTTCCTGTTGTGCATCTGGGACAGGAAGTGTAGAAAAAGTCTCCCCAAATGGGAATTCAGACAGCTAAAACAGAGAAAAGGTTCTAAATCTCCCACACAAAGTTTTAACTGAAGTTCTAGTTTAACGTGAAACTTTTGTCAGAAAATTAAGTCCTTCTAGATGACTTCAGGCTGTCCTGTTGTGCAGGTATGGCTATGCAAAACATTAAAAATAAGTGCCTATAATGTTTAAAATCCAGTAATACACTGTCTCACCCTGCTCTGCACATGCTTAGTTGCTCTCTACTTTTTGGCACTGTTCCTAATTTGAAGAGGCTGATCTGCTGACAGCCTAAAGATTTACTGCTGCTCAGGGGCTCTGGGCTATAACAAAATGGCAGCTCTGGCAAGAAGAAACAGGAACAATGCTGGAGGCAATTTACAGCACACACTAATTTTGGTAGCATAATTATTAATATGGAATGTATGTTCCTTGCAAAAGAACATTATTTTTTTTATGATGTTGTTATGCGTAAAATTCCGCTTTAAGTTCATCTCAAAATAATACTATTAAGCATCATAAAAGGAAATGAATACAAACCATCCATATGCCAATGCTGGAAGAAGGTTCTGAAAATGGACGTTTAAAGACACGGCATATTTTTATTGCATCCGTGTACACTTCAAAAACATTGTTCGCGACAAACGAATATGGCTGCTGCAGGAAAGATACATGAGAAGAGGCTGACGTAACCAAACAGCAAGAATAACTCCAAGTAGTCATCAAATGTTCCCTAGGAAAAAAAGTGAAAAATGTCAGGACATGACAAAATAGGACAATAGCTACACACATTCTGAACAGAAACTTGGGTTTACTGACCCACATTTCCCACCATAATCGTGTAACTTGTTATTGTTCTGCAGCCCCCCCCCCAATGTCTCACTTGTCAATGTACTAATGCAGAGACCAAGCACAGATTAGTGTAAAATTCACTTTTGGCACAAGTCTTCCGCATTACATAATCCTGGGGCATCAGGCTACCCTTTCTCAATCCAAAAAAAATATACAAAAAAACTAGTCACCAACCCAGGTCTATAACTGGCTTTTTCCACAGTGAACATGGACGGGCATCGCATGCGAAATATAAATAGGGCTACCCTGTTCAACTTGCCAGCCAACCCCAGTCTAATAATGGCTATTTTCAGCAAGGAACATGGATAGGTATCACTTATCAAAAAATGGGATAAGAAAGCCAGTTCAATCTGCCAGGCAGTTAGCCAACTATCACAAACCAAATTAACCTGTCTAAGAATATGTGTTTAAAAAACAGGGGTTTCGTTAGCAAACATTTGCAAATACATACATAAGCCGCAGAGCCACATCATGGCACCCTGAGTATCTGTGGTCCTAACTCTATAAATATTGAGAGTCCTCCTTATAGAGGCACATGCATTAAATGGACAGACCAAGGGCAGGTGGACCTGAGGGAGCCCACCCCTTGTTAAAGGTACAGGAGCACACTGACACCCAGCATATAACACAATGGCAGCCAGGTGTCCAATGCACCCACAAACCTCAAAAATGACATACAAAAAAACTGGTCACCAACCCAGGTCTATAACTGGCTTTTTCAACAGTGAACATGGATGGGCATCGCATGCGAAATATAAATAGGGCTACCCTGTTCAACTTGCCAGCCAACCCCAGTCTAATAATGGCTATTTTCAGCAAGGAACATAGATTGGTATCACTTATCAAAAATGGGGATAAGAAAGCCAGTTCAATCTGCCAGCCAGTTAGCCAACTATCAAAAACCAAATTAACCTGTCTAAGAACATGCCCTTTCCTAATCCCTGATCATATTTTTCTTACATGATATGTCAAAAAGCCAGGAGAAAATATTTAAGAGTATTGAGCCCAAAATGTAATACACTGCTCAAAAAAATTAAAGGAACACTTATTAATCAGAGTATAGCATCAAGTCAAGTAAACTCCTGGGATATCGATCTGGTCAGTTAAATAGCAGATGGGGTTGTTAATCAGTTTCAGCTGCTTTGGTGTTAATGAAATTAACAACAGGTGCACTAGATGGGCAACAATGAGATGACCCCCAAAACAGGGATGGTTTTACAGGTGGAGGCCACTGACATTTTTTTTCCCTACTCATCTTTTCTGACTGTTTTTCACTAGTTTTGCATTTGGCTAGGGTCAGGATCACTACTGGGAGCATGAGGTGATACCTGGACCATACAAAGGTTGCACAGGCAGTCCAACTCCTCCAGGATGGCACATCAATACGTGCCTCCCAGCACAGTCTCAAGAGCAATGAGGAGATTCCAGGAGACAGGCAGTTACTCTAGGAGAGCTGGGCAGGTCCATAGAAGGTCCTTAACCCATCAGCAGGATTGCCAGGTTAAAATAAAGAAAAAAAGTCCTAAAAAGAAAACCAAACTAGCCACCACAGCTAAAAATTGGTAAGCTGCAATACATTTTTGGGGGTTTTATACAGCTTTAAAAGATTATCCACACCAGGGCATTTGTTTAACACACTCCTTGCTGCATTTTCTATGCCATGGTTCACACAGGTGCAATTTGTCATGTGGTTTGACAGTTTAAAATCACATGACAAGTCACACCCCGTTGCCGGCAATAGAACTGTTCAAATCACTGTGATTCATGTCGCAGCAACTTTGAGGAAGATTCCTGCACTACTTTTTTTCCCTGATTTTATTGTGACTTGCGTAGACTTCTGTTAAAGGACATTGCAAGCTGCAATGAATTTGGAGTTGCAAATCAGACTAATCTGCAGCTTTGGAATCGTGCCGAAGTAGCACGATTTCAAAGCCGCACTAGTGTTAAACAGGGCTGAATGCTGCTTTTTTGCTTGCACAATACATTTGCATACTGTATATCTAAATTGTTTAGGCTATGTTGGAATAAATAAAGAGCAATAGGGCTGTAGTAACACTTAAGCTTCCTGGAGAAAATGCTGCTCCAATATCCCCCCCCCCTCCAGTGCTAGTCCCATGAAAAAGCCTAGGATCCCATGTTAGGATTAGCTATATCTAATCCTCTTCAACAGAGATCATGTGGCCAGAATGCTATTTTTTTTTGGAAGTGTGAGCGGCAGAGAATGGTGAGGGCTGGAACAGTATTTTATAAATTTCAAACTCCAGCGCCACAGTAGAACCACACCCCCAAAAAAGGTATGAGCTGCTGCTGTATACTAGTGCAATACACCAAATAATATAAAACGATATAAATGCAAAACAAAACCCATAAAAATTTAAATAACAACCCTCAAATCATATGAATTATAATACATTATAAATTCAAATAAAAAGTGAAAACAAAATATATAATAATATAAAAAAAAATAAATATAAAAAATATGTGTCCAAAAAAACATATAAAGTCCTTATTCTCAAATTCCTTAGTGCTCCAACCTAAAAAACTTTCTCCTTTTAGTATGTGCTTTCACCATCCACCATCCACCAGTGCTGTAACCAACATAAACCGCACTCACCAGATATTGGTGATTTACATGCCTTTTAGGGATCCTATACCCCCTCTATAGCAGAGGGCAGACCAGAAGTGCGTCGACGCGTGTCACCCCTCCCACAGGGTGTTCTCAAGAAATGCGTCGACACACTTCCAGTCTATCCGTCCTACACAACTTCCGGTGAGTGGAACGCACACTGAGCGGTGCGTTCCAAGTGGCCATCTTTGATGTTGGTTAGAGAGACACTCTGTCATCCTCTGCAATAAGGCTGTGAGGTTTCTGAGGCTGTCTTTGGATGTTATGGAAATGATGTTTGGCTGGATGAAGGCAAATAAACAATGCTTTTATTGATTTTGTGAAATGTGAGTGGCCTGGTATTACTAATACTAATATAAGGAGTACTAGCAATATTACACTATATACAATTTTTTCTCTTGCACTACTGTGGAGCTGGTTTGGAAGGATATATCAGGAGTGATTGGAAGGAGAATCTAATCACTATCTGGAGGAATGGAGTCCTGGAGGCTGTAGAGGGAGTATAGGATCTCTAAAAGTCCTAAAAGGCGTGTAAAACACCAATATCTGGTGAGTGTGGTTTATGTTGGTTACAGCACTTGTGGATGGTGGAAGCACATACTAAAAGGAGAAAGTTTTTTTTGGTTGGAGCACTAAGGAATTTGAGAATAAGGACTTTATATGTTTTTTTTGGACACTTATATGTTTTATTTTTTTTATATTATATATTTTTTGCACTTTTTATTTGAATTTATAATTTATTATTTATATGAGTTGAGGGTTGTTATTTAAATTTTAATTTTTACAGAACAGTATTTTAACCAGGAAAAATAAGTATTTTAACCAATTGATATTTTATATTTACGTATCCATTAACCTCCTCGGCAGTATGATTCTTTCAGATTTTTTGTGCTGAAAGCGGTACCATTTTTTTGCATGGAAATATGTAGTTTTTTATTGTAGGCGGTAATTTTTAGGAATAACTCACTGAAATCTGTACAAACAAGAGTCTAGTAAACATCCCAGATATGATAAAACTTGAAACACGAAATCATAAATGATAATTTAATAAATAATCATAAAAAATAATAATATAATAATAATATAAATTTGATTCAATAATATAATCAAAAACCAAAAACACTGAAATTTGAAATACAGAGGCAAATTCGCACATCACTGAGCAAAATCGCAAAATCGTTTTCAGTGTCTGATGACGAATTTGTCCACAAATCATTATCACTCAATTCTGCAAGTGGTTCTGATTTACTATCGCTGTTCTAAAACCGCTTTTGACGTAAAGGGACGCTTCTTGGACGCCATGGACTTTTCTAAGTTTCCAGGCAGAAAGAACAGTCAAAATGCAGACAGGGCACAGAACAAAGCAGTAGGGACAAAATGTATGTGAAATGCATTGAAACAGCAATGACAGCAAAAATGAAATTTTTTTAAAATTTCAAATTTCCCGCCCGTCCCGACGTCACAGGGACCGGAACACAGAAGCCGGATGCCGGCATCGGCCGGAGGAGATGGCCGGGGACGCTGCAGGGGACACATAGCGGGAGCGAAGGACAAGGTAAGTGCTGCAGGGACCCCCAGAGCAACGCCGCATGGTAAGCCCGAGTGTAGCTCAGGGTTACCGCTCTTGGTATTGAAATTTTACCCCGAGCTACACTCGGGATAAACGCTAATGTTAAGATTATTATAGAATATATAAATCCATCATTTCATATTTCTGATATGTACCTGCTGTACCATGTACTTGTATGAAAAAGTATACTGTTTTCTATGTATTGCTTCCTTTGTGTGAAATCCCTGGTGTTCCTGCAAGTCCCTCTGCTTTCCTATTAAAAGCTGACCATGCTAGGCAGGAGAATACATTGTGGGTAGTTCTCTAGCTATGCTGTAAACTAAGTCTGCTCTTCTCCAATGATCAGACTTGTGCTGACACACACCCCCCACCCCCATTCACTGGGAAGTTTAGTGTACTGCTGTTTCTCTTCCCCCAGCTCTTATGCAGCTGAGAACAGAGGGTATCACTTATAAAAAAAAAAAAAAGGAAAACAGTGTTTATAATGGTTTTTTTTTTTTGCATCTATACACAAATGTTTTTTGCCTTTCATTTCTAATTTAAACGGAATGGGTTGTTTTACAAGGTGAGGGATTACATACTTTAACATAGCTATGTTGTAATATAAGAGAATGTAGAGAATGGTATATATATATATATATATATATATATATATATATATATATATATATATATATATATATATACACAGTGGGGATCGAAAGTTTGGGCACCCCAGCTAAAAATTTGTATTAATGTGCATAAAGAAGCCAAGGAAAGATGGAAAAATCTCCAAAAGGCACCAAATTACAGATTAGACATTCTTATAATATGTCAACAGTGGCACAGGGAACATCTCACGAGTAGAAGGAAAAATGGATTCAATAAAATTTCAGCAAATTTTGGATGTTAACTTGATGCCATCTGTGAAAAAGCTGAAGTTAAAGAGAGGATGGCTTCTACAAATGGATAATGATCCTAAACACACCTCAAAATCCACGGGGGATTACATCAAGAGGCGTAAACTGAAGGTTTTGCCATGGCCTTCACAATCTCCTGACCTCAACATAATTGAAAATCTATGGATAGACCTTAAAAGAGCAGTGCGTGACAGACAGCCCAGAAATCTCAAAGAACTGGAAGACTTTTGTAAGGAAGAATGGGCAAAGATACCTCAAACAAGAATTGAAAGACTCTTGGCTGGCTACAAAAAGCGTTTACAAGCTGTGATACTTGCCAAAGGGGGCAGTACAAGATATTAACTCTGCAGGGTGCCCAAACTTTTGCAGACGCCATTTTTTTGTTTTGTGTTATTTTGAAAGTGTAAATGATGGAAATAAAATCTAACTTTTGTTGACATATTATAAGAATGTCTAATCTGTAATTTGATGCCGTTTGGAGATTTTTCCATCTTTCCTTGGCTTCTTTATGCACATTAATACAAATTTTTAGCTGGGGTGCCCCACTGTATATATATATATATATATTTATTTACATAACTACATACACACACATATATAAATATATATACACATACATACATACATATACACACACATATATACATACAGAGGTACTAATAATAGTGGACAAGTTTAATATCACCTCACCAGTGACCTGAATTGAATCCGCACAGTACGTCAATGCAATATACTATTGCCTTATGTACAGGGCCAAAAAAGTCAGCTGCAGAACTGTAGGGCATAACACTGCAATCCAGTCCTGGCAGCAATTTGATGCAGTACAGATGGTGTTTAGGAAAAAAAAAGGTCAATCATCTAACTTCCAACTGAATTCTAAGTATAGGAGACTCTGTGGCTAGACAAACATGAAAACCACATTAAAACAAATCAGTTGTATAATCTTAAAATGAACAAAAAATAATAAAATGAAAATAATTGGTAATTGACTTCGTTCTGCCACTATATTGCTGTTATACAGACTAAAGAGTATAAAACTTTAGCTCCTTGTATTACAGGAAAGAAGCAGCATAAATATTTCCAAAATGATAAAATGGAGTATGCTTTATATTCTTGCATTTATTTTACACCCTTTACACTTCCCGAGGACCTAAAAGAATGTTACCTTGCTAGGAGATCTGCGACACAATGGGGGAGATTTACTAAGTCTCAGTTCACACTAGCTTTGTCAGCAGGTAGCAGACAGGTTTTTGGGAAGCGTTTTTAATGCTTCTCAAACACCTATGAAAATTCTGCACGTCAGCAAACAGTGCTGTTCACACTGAAGCTTTAGTGTAGAGTCAGGAGTCCTGTGTAGAGTCAGGAGTTGAAGCCTCCCATTCAAGTCTATGGTGCCGCTCCACAAACGCCTGGCAGGCGTTTGCGACGCGGTTGTGGAGCATTAATATAATTTAACTTCATTATAAGCGTTTGTGGTGCGGTTTAAAGGCTTGGCAAACGCCTATCAACTGCCTCAAAACCGTACATAGGGCATTTGGGGAGCGTTTAAGGAGCGTTAAAAATGCTTCCCAAATGCCTAATGCCTGTCAAACGCTATAGTGTTGTTTGGCAAGAGTTAGAAATAAAGTCAAGTGTGAATGAACCCTAAAACTGGTTCATATGGAATCAGATACCGCTGTGCATAATAACCAATCAGTATCTAACTTCAGCTTGTTCAATTAAGCTTTGATGATAAAACCTGGAAGCTGATTGGTTACTATGTACTGCTGCACCAGACGCTGTGTGCATCAGTTTTAGTAAATCTCCCCAATGTATTCATACCACCTTCCCTACAGTGTTTTTTCTTATGTAAGAGGCTCCGTGTGCTTCTGCTAATACTCACCAAATAAGTGTACATGTCCTTTTCTAGGTGAATCTGCTCCAACAAAGTGTACTTAGAGGCTGCATTCAGTGGTTTGGCTTTGTCAGCCACTTGTCTGTTAGTTCTCTTCTGCATCCAGTATGGAAGAAAGGTCTCAAAAATCTGGTTAAAGAACTGAGAGACCAGAAGCAAGCAGACCAAACTCTGCAGAGAAAAGAAATACATTATATAAGAAATAAAATAGAACAATGTTGTTTTTTCTTTTTGTAGAAGAAAGTTCAACTGTATTCATTATAATCTCTAGCATTATATTAATGGTTCCCTAAGATGATATAATGGAACGCTTGAACAGAAAACCCAGAAATACCAATATATATAATATATATTTTGAGCTTGGCTTAGCAATTAGTTTAACAATCCTCATACTTACATAAAGCTTGCACTTGTCATACACAGTATATGCAACCCTAAAGTGACACAAAATTATATTCTTATTCTCCAAAGATAATCCATACACTACTAATAATGGCCCTGTCATTTATTTTACATGAAATGGTTTCATGCTGTGTTTTTTTTCTGCCTTCTTGCGCTTCTCACTTTTACTTGTTCAGAATGCGCAGTGTCTGTTAGTCGCAGTCATGTGCACTGATCTATGAGCACTACAAATCCCATAGTCCACAGTCCCAAGAGAGGGTGGCTACATTCTTACATACAGTGGGACCATTGAAAAGGAACGTAGCCTCCCTCTAACCGAGGGTCGGATCACAGCAAGAAAAGAAAAAAAAAAGGGAACTGTGAGATTTGGAGGAGGCTGAGAACAAGAGAAGATACACAACTAAAATAGATTTGTTTTAACCACTTGCCTATCATGCACTTATACCCCCTTCCTGCCCAGGTCAATTTTCAGCTTTCAGCGCTGTCGCACTTTGAGTGACAATTGCACGGCCATGCAACACTGCACCCATATGAATTTTTTAATATATTTTTTTCACACAAATAGAGCTTTCTTTTGGTGGTATGGACTCGCCGCTGGGTGTTTTATTTTTTGCACTATAAACAAAAAAAAGCAAAAATTTTGAAAAAAATAGTTTTTCTTTGTTTTTATTATAAAATTTTGCAAACAGATAATTTTTCTCCTTCACTGATATGCTTTGATGAGGCTGCACTGATAGGTAGCACTGACGGGCACTGATATGCAACAATGATGGGCATTGATAGGCGGCACTGGTGGGTACTGATAGGCAGAACTGATGAGCTGGCACTGATATGCAACAATGATGGGCACTGACAGGCAGCACTAATGGGCAGTGACTGATGGCACTGATGGGCACTGACTGGAAGCACTGATGGGTGGCACTGTTGGGCACTGGTGGGTGGCACTGATCATCAGGGCACTGATAATCAGTGCCCTGATGATTGGTGCCGATCTGTCCTCTGACAATTGCCAGTTATCGGCAGTACGATAACCGGCAACAGCATTTACCGGTGATCTGCTGTGTCATTGGACATGGCTGATCACGTGGTAAAAGGCCGCTGTGATTGGCCTTTTACCACATCACGTGATTAGCTGTGAAGCCGTCATTCGGCTATCTGCGGTTGGCAAGTGGTTAAAGAATATGTCAACCCAACATTTCCTGTCCTCTTTCTATTGCATGAACTCCTTGGTGTTCCTGCCAGTCCCTTTGCTTTCCTATTACACACTACACTTGGCATGAGAGTGCGCCCGCGCGCACACACACAGCCATTCACTGGGGAGACCAGTGTGTTGCTTCTCTTCCCCAGCAGGGTGAACCTATTAAAAAAAAAAAGAACAACATATTTTTGATTATAAGAAATATACAAAGACAATGAAATAATTAGGCTGTATATGGCAATGAGTCCATGCCTGCCAGCGATGCTGCCTGTTAGGGATATAAGTTCAGTACATGACATGCTACAGAGAATTATGTCTGATTCATTTCCCTCAGTTCTTAAATAGAGCTCCACTTTTTTTTCCCTTTCTTTCTTTTCTTAGAGAGAAAGAGTTTTTTTTCTTACCAAGGCTAAGCAGTCTCTAGTTTCGGTAAAAAACAGTAAATTTATTATGGGCTCCATCTAATGGGCAAATGTAATACTGCAGACAGGACAACACTTAATTTCCCTGCTGGAGGCAGAACACCTTGTCTGTGAGAATCAGTAAGTCTGTCATATGTGCATCTAGGCCAAACATTGCCCTCTACATTACATTGTTACATTATTCTTTATTCTCTTCCTTCATTGTTCCAGTGAGAATCTGCATTGAGTTAAAAGGGTGCACAGGGTGTGGGTCAACTTTACTAGATATGGGTGGGCTCAAATGCAAACCCTGACATCCCCAGGGGACTGCAACTAATATTCAGTATATGTAATGCTACAGTGAATTGTCAGAGGCTGCTGACTGTGCCGAGATGTCAGAAACTGGTGATATGCTACCGGTGTTGTTTAAGGATGGAGCTATGCTGCAGAAGACTGTTTGAGACTGGAGGAAAGTTACCTGAGACTAGTAGACATCACTCCCATTACAGCCTCTTTACAAATCACGGTTCTCTTTACTGGCTGCGGGGAACTGACGGAAGCACTATGAGTACCAAAGGACCACATGCGGCCCTTGGGTTGCAGGTTGGGTTACAGGGGTGTAATGTAATAAACACATCAGCTTCTACTTCCAAAGGGTTAATTACAGGGACATTCAAATTATGAAGAAACGGATAGCTATAAGGGTTTAGCTTATAAATATCAGGGTAAAAATGTGCAGAAGCTAGGCTGCTTTTTGTGAGTTCAGGTTAAAAATGATCAGTGTTTGTCTGGATTATACCTAGGCTAGGTTCACACCTATGACTGCAGTTGATACATTTTTCTGGTGCTTTTTGCAGTGCGGTTTACATTTTTTTCACACGCACTTTTTAATACCTTTTGAGATTTTCGGATATATTATTGTTGCTAGGTTAAGGTGTCTGTTGTCATGCTTTACATGCCTGATGAAGGGGTCCTGCAAGACTCCGAAACGTTGCCATGCTGTAACTATGTGATCGTTCATTAAAACTTTTGGACCCATATTGGTGATCCTCGGTGTGCTGGTGACATTCTCCCTTGCTGATTCTGTTCGGTTCCAGCCGTCGGTCACAGCAGCACCCACTTATACACACAAATATAAAAATATATAATCCCCCTGCGCTCCACTGGTATGAACAAACACAACCCCAAATATATGCAAGCTGCTACCACCTATTCCCAATACCACAGGATGTATGACATAAAAAAAACAATATTGGTGAAGCGCTTCACATGAAAAACTAAATAAGTAGGTGCAATGATATAAAAATACATATAAAGTAAACCACACTGTATTGAAAGGTATTGACAACTAATGATAAATAATCCCCCCCAAAAATATGTAAGTGCCAAGTGCTGAAAGTGCAAAACAGGTCATGCGTTTGCTGACTAGACCGTGCCAAAATACAATATATGCACAGTATACATAACACACAATAACATTGCACACTCTAACTGAAAGTAAAAAGTGCTCAGTATGAGTATGAATATTGGTTAAAGTAAAATCCACAATAAAGTGCAAAACAGGTCATGCGTTTGCTGACTAGACTGTGCCAAAATACAATATATGCACAGTGAATTAATACACAATAACATAGCACACTTTAACTGAAAGTGACAGGTGCTCAGTATGAGTATGAATATTGGTAAAAAGTAAAATCCACAATAAAGTGCAATAACAAAGTGCTTGACATTTCATGTGCAAACAAAACACCGGGATGTCAGTGCTTCAATTCTTCACAAACATGATGCGTGTTAGCATGCCATACGTGTATATCGTAATCCAAAAACACGTAAGTGCATTTTTCATGTGTTTCCATTGAAGTCTATGGAACCAAAATTGCATTGTGCTGCTTGCAAAAAAGTCCCTGACCCTTTCCAAAAAACACACTGGTTGAAAATACATAGATATGAATGTGACTCATTGGAAATCATGGCAAATGGATTTCTGAAAACTGTAAAACGCACTGCAAAACGCATATGTGTGAACCTAGCCTTAAACAATGTGCATCTACTATGTTATGTGTATATGGACACACAATACCTATGGATGGCATGAGTGTATATGTAATGGAATTGCTTGGCCCTCATTTCCTATGAATTGTAAAACTGTATCTATGTATACAGATGCAAGAGTGCTGCAGTGACAAGAATTCATTCCATGAAGATGCTGAGCTGTGCGCATGCTGGCAATATGAAGTCTATGTAAAGAGCCCCCTCTAGTGTTTCAAACTGTACATCTGTATTGGTCATTTTCTGCCTTATACATGGTATAAATAAGTAGTTTTAAACCTTTAGAGACAGAAATAAGGAAACGGATCCCATTGGCTTTTTATAAATGTGCAGGATCTAGGGCTGCCATCATAACCATAACTTCAATATCATCATCAAGTTAAATCTGAGAACTCTACTGTCATATATTTTTGTTCACAAACCACTACGTAAAATAAGCAATGGCAGCACCTAAATCTTTGTACTCACAGGTTTCCTTTGAGCTGAACTACTCTGTAATAAAGTATTAGCAACCTCAGATTACTGCATAAATAAACACCACAGGGAATAAAGCCCCAATGACTCTTTGCTGGTAGTATGGCCCTTTAAAAAGGGCCTGCACCAGATTCAAAAATCCCTGCTGCCCCTTTCAGGCAACACGTGCAGCAGATTCAGGTAGTTCTTAATTGTGCACCAAATTAAAGTGGTATTAACCCCCCAAACCAAAAATGTAATACAGTGCAGCTTACTGATGATTAGACATTGTGGCTGCATTTGTTTTCTTTTTTTTTAAAGACTTTCCCCTCTATTTTCACCTGGTGATATGGCCAGTAACACACCTCTTGTATTAGAGTGCCCCCACTGTGAATGAAGGAGCACAGGGGGCATCTTTGGATAGTAGTATTCTTAATGTGGGGGAAGTGGTAGATGTACTAGCAGACTTAGATACACTAACAAATTGAAGCTAAAAACTCCAGATAATACTTTGTGAGCAGTTACAACAAAAAAGTTTTTATTTTGGGCTAAAGGTTTTACATAAATAAAACCGAGTCATTGTAAGCACCCCTGCCATTGGCAAACGTTTGTCTGATCTCTGTAGCACATACATTCTGCTGGACAGCTTGTTCTGTTGAAAAGCAACAGACTTACTGGCCAGATCACCAGATA